ATTTTCATTTTGCTATTTATGCATCGCATTTTGAGTTGTTTTTTTTCATGTTGGTTTCCATCCTTTTTTGCTGTCAATATGATCATGATTTTCAATTATTGCGTAAATGTATAAGTACTGCGCAAAATGATAAGGGAAATTGGTGTCCATCAGTTGGTATATCAATGCAAATGGTTCAAATGCTAATTCAGGAATGTTGTCGACTGGTTGAAAGAAATACCTGAAGTGATAATTGGTAAAAGGCTCGTATCAACACTTTTATCAAGATACGTATTGCTGGAACAATGCGCACATTCCATTTTATATCCGGTCCTTTTACGCCCTTCAGGTTCCTTTCATTTCTTATTTTAACAATCCTTTTTGGTTGTTCTCTTATGAATTGTTCAATGTACATGTTTTCGAGTAAATCTTTTTATGTGCATTGAAACAGATATGGAAAATAGTGAAAAGCGAAATGGACTATTATCGTTTGATGGTTTTCGTAAATGGGTCGTTCCTGAGGTGCTGCGCATATTTCCTGTACATGATAAGTCAGTACGAATTGCATTGCTCAACCACTTTCCGTTGTATATCAACTACTTTACACAATCACAACTCACTAACGTTATTCTACCCGAGGTCAGATATTCATTAATGTTCGCTGTGATTCTTTTTTTTTTTTGAATTTCCTTTTTAACGCTACCAAAAGTTGATGTGAATACAAAGTGGTCGTTTCAGTTAAGACTAGGCATGTGTGATTCGGACGATGACTTAGTGAGCGCATCGCTGCACTCGATGGCACATCTTGTTCCCATTCTTGGTGGTTCTGCTGTCACTGGATTACCGCATAAGAAATCGTTTGCCGATGGAACACCCAAAAAAGAAGGTTTATATTGCCGTGAGAATGTATTGCGATCGCATGTCTCTTCGCCACTCATAGTCTTGACACCAACAATTGACACGAAGAAGGATGATAACAGTTACTCGTTATCACCGTCGAATAATTTGTCTCGATTATTGAGCGAAGATGACGATTATTATGATGCTCACGAACGGAACAATATCAAACTGCGACTGATATCGACAAACGATGATGAAATCTGCGCATCGTCATTGAGCACTTCTGAGTTGGTTCGTCAATTGTTTCCATTTTTATTTTGTTTGGATGGATATTCAGCAATGTTTGAATATAGAATAGGTTTTGATTTGAGAATAGAATACTGATGGTTTTTCAGATTCTCAAAAGTCTAACTTTGATGAGTGGATTCCAGTTTTATGAAAATTCAACTAATTTTCCACTTGAATATTGCACTACATGACATGAGTTAATCAAGTGTGGATATTCAGCAATCGAACGAGCAAATGAATGATGCCGTGCAAAGTGAATGGTCAACAAATTGGGGTAGTGATGGCAATGAGGATGAAAATGACACCGAATATGATTCACCAGCATCGCTGTCTTCGCCGATGTCACCGTTAGAACCAATTTCAGCCAGTCAACATGGTGATGCATCAAATCTTCAACCATATCCGCATATCGTCAAACAATCAACGCCAACTGGTCCGTTTTTTTTTTTTTTTTGAAGCACTCTCCTCTTTTAACCTAATACATTGAGTGTGATATCAAATATCAAATTCAATCCTTAAATACAAAGGATTGAATGTTCAAGTCCTCGCGCTTTCAATGTATCCCTTTAGTTTTCATTGAAAATTCGTATCGTTAACACTCGGAATTGTTTAATCGGATGTAATTTGCAAGTGAATTCCTTTTCATCTCAGGCGTTATTCTATGGAATGCTCTGCTTACAGTAAATCAGTTACGGATGAATTTCAGATATGAGGAATGACACCGATGAAGCGGAAAAGTCAAAAGATGAGAACTGTACGGTTGATGATGATATTGATTATTTCGCTGATATGGAACCGATTATTAAAAAAACGCCATCACTGAATGAGTATTCGACCAAGCAGCCTCATGAATCGATCGCAAGTAATTTCACGAGTCGTTTCAGCATATTACCAGCTGATGATCCCTCTACAACACCCGATGCAAATGCAAATAACGTAATCGTTTCGTTTCATATAAAATATTTATGTATGCTCTCATCTGTCTCACCTGTCAGCAGCATCAGTAATAAAACGGTTCATGATTGCTTTTGTTTTCAGTATGGAGCGTGGGAAACAACAATAGATGATTGGGATGCAGACTGACCATTGCGATCGGTGAAATTATTGCAATTCGTGTATTTTGTAATTTTGACGTTTGGAGCCTTACAGAACTTTATCTTTCCAGTATTGTTTGTCTTCACTAGTATGGGCAATAATTTAACGCTCTGGTAAATTGAACAGTTATCATCTATTTGTTTGTATATTTGTCACCTTTGTTGTGTTATTTTCGTTTATTAAATTTTAGTTTTTAAAATTTTCGATCGACGCACCTATTTGTTAATTTATTTCGGATTCTTTCCATCGTTGTGAAATATGATTTATGGAAGTGTTGCATAGAATTAATTGGCAAATCGAATTTTGTGAAATATGATTTATGAAAGTGTTGTATAGAATTAATTGGCAAATCGAGTTTTTGAATGTGCTCTTAGCGATGTTTTGTGATATTTGATAATAACAATNGAATAACAACTCGAATTTGATTCAAAATTTCAAATTTGAACTTTTCTAAACATTCAATTTTAAATTCAATCTGAATTTAACTTTTTACATACGAATAAGATTCAGTTCCAAATATTCAATTCAAATCAAAATTCGCATTCCCACAAATTCGCTTATTGTTAAATTCAGATCACACATGTGCTCCAAAATACAATGAATCATCAGCTCCTTAGCAAAAGCAATAACGTTTTCCGAGAATAAACGAAAAAATAATCTCATATAATGAATACTCGATCACGATAATATAAACTCGTTAATAATACTGGAGTGACCGTAGTAATTATAATCATTATTCCTAAGTCAAACAATGCACCAATCGTCGCTATTGTCAGCAAAATAAGGAAAAGACAAAGATTCATGGTGAATGTAACGTACTGACATATTGCATCGAAAAAGATCACCAAACTTCCCGAGCCGTTCAGCATTGCCTCAAAATTTGCAAAACTTATGAAATTTTCGCATGAACATATCGGATTTCTCCTCTTGCGACTCCTCGCATCTAGGGTTTGCAAAATCCCGACGTTTTTTCAATCCCGGGATCGAACAATTTTGTAATATCGATGCGGGACATGTTCAAACACATTTTTTCGAACCATTATGTTCATTATCAATCAGAAAGGAGCTAATTCAACAAATTATTAAACAAATTCGAGGAACCAAATTATTTAAATTCAAATTGATATTTCATATAATTTTGCTAATGATCATGTCGTAAGGGCATACCGCATTCTCTATGCTAAGGCATCTTGCCTTCTCGGGTCTAAGCTAATAACAGCACACGTGCATGTGAATATGAAATTCTTGATTCTCAAACACTTATTTGCAGTGCTTCAAGTCCATTTTCTCGCAGTATTAACATCAGATGAATTCTGCCATTTCGGAAATTTCGATTTTTTATGAAAGAAATGCATCNCATAAATTATATCATTTGAATTTTGAAAAGTTCAGAGTTCATCTAAGAAGTGAAAAAAAAATCCGCAGTGGATTTTCATCGAACCATCGAGCACTTACATGTTTGATAATTCCGATCAGAGATCATGGAAATGTACTTGAAAGTTAAGCTTACGATCCTTTTGAATGGAACAATTTACCTCACTTCAACAGTGAATTCTCACTATGGGTGAACTCACTATCAGTGAGAATTTATGTACGTTTCGATCGGATGAAAATGTTACCAAATAGCGAAGTAAAAAGACTTGCAATCTTTAGAAAACGCAGTTGAATTAACGGATGGAATATTGAAGTCGAAAAAATCGTGTTAGAGGAAACGACTCAAAA